CATCCAGCGTCTTCTCACTGTGATTTTTACAGGAAGAATCGTGGAAGCGCCTCTAGCGGCTGTCAATGAGACAGCCACTAGAGGCTGGATTAACCCTCAGTGAAACATGGCAGTTTCTCTGAAACTGTTATGTTTTCTGCTGCAGGGTTAAAAATAGAGGGAGCTGGGACCCAGACCACTTCATTGAGCTGATGTGGTCTGGGTGCCTAGATTAGTTAAGATTAGAGTTAAGGAGGGGTCTCCTCTGGCTTTAATGCTCAGTTTCCAAGGAGCCCTCAATTAATGAAGATTAATTATTTTAGACTTTTTCTTTAGGTTGTATTTTGTGATTCCAGTCTTTATTAACTTTGATAAGTTGTTTGTTAGGATTAGAATATTTTCTATTAGTTGAATTTTTTTTACAAAAAAAAAACTGTTCAATTATTTTGAGATGAAAGAAAGATGATTGAAGAATGATCTTGAATCAAGACAACAAATGGCAATTATTACCATTTTAAGAGCATTTGTTTTTAGATTTGTATGACCCTCAAACTATTATTAGTGAGGGGGGGGGGGGAGTATATTGAGACTATGGCTATGGTTGTGAGCGGCCAAAGACCCTCATTCAGTGTTAAATGGTATGACATTGAATGGGATACAGTGCCAGGGGATTCCAGGAACTATAAGCAATTTAACGAGATGAAATAATTTTAGGGCAAGACATGGAGACTCATATTACCTTACCCTTCCTTTACTGTCCACCATTAGCAGCAAAGAAAAAAACAGAATAGAAAAAAACAAAACAGTATATACAGTGACACCAACCAATCCCTATTCAAGTTCCTGTCTAACTATAAGCTCCACTCACAAACCTTTCTCCTTCTTTGCTGCTTCACAGACAGATAAGTACCTCTTATTTTGTCGCTGCTAGAAGTGCGTTATTTACGTGTTATTTTGTGTGTTTGTGCTGTATTGTAAAGTAAACTGCTTTTACCTGTCTCCCGGGGTACCCAGACCACATTTGGGGATTTTTCCCCCTTTCTGCTTATAACCTATTTTCCATGGGTCTTTCTGTTCTACCGCAATGTGTTTTTCCTTATTTCTCTGTTTATCCCTTGATCCCCTCAGGTCCATTATCAGGATTTTGTTCCCTCCTTTGTAAAAACACTAGCACAAACAAAAGTTATAATTTTATTATGCCTTCCTCTCCTCTTTTTTAAGGAGCGAGCTAGAAGAGTCTGTGTGCTGCCTTTCTTGTGTTGGAGAAGCAGATTAATTGTGCAAAGAGCACAGCTTTCCCTTTTGATCCCTCTCATTATATAGACAGTGGGTGCCGTATAAAGCCTCAAAGCACCTGCTGACTGTCTTACTATGAGGTGGGTGAAGTTACTGACAAAACTTCTACCTGCCACACACTACACATTGAATCTCTGGGTGCTAGTGTTTTGACCACCGCTGAAATTTCATGGTAAGTCCAATGTGATTCTCCTGCCCTCATGACCCCTATAAGCACAGGGACTGGCTATGGTGTCTCAGCTGTAATACCTTGGTACTAGTACCCAAATCTAAGGTTAGAATTCTAAAATTGTGGGTATTATATATCAGCTGCTTTTGGTCAAACTTGGTGAAGATGCATACTGAGCCTCAGGGCCGCCATCAGAAATTTTGGGGCCCCTGACAAAGCACAAGGTCTGGGGCCCCTCCCGGGCCCGCCCACGCCCTACCTAGTCCACTGACAATGATGCAGGACTGAATATGGTGTGTATAGCGGAAGTGAATTAGAATGTTTGTAATGGATGTAGTGTTTGTGTGTATTAGATATTGTTTGTACAATGAATGCAGAGTGTGTGTTTGTGTAGCGAATGCAGTGTGTATAGTGAACGCAGAGTGTGTTTGAGTAGTGGATGTAGTGTGTGTACAGTGATGTGGTGTGTGGTTGTGTAGTGGATGAAGTGTTTGTATGTACTAGATGAAATGTGTTTAGTGGATGCAGTGTCTGTAGTGGATGTAGTGTGTGTATTAGACGCAGTGTCTGTGTATAGTGAATGCAGAGTGTTTCAATTTGTGGTGGATGTAGTGTGTGTACTGTGAATAAAGGATGTTTGTGTAGTGGATGCTGTGTGTACAGTTAATGCAGAGTGTATGTTAGTGTAGTGAATGCAGAGTGTGTGTCAGTATAGTGAATCCAGAGTGTGTGTCAGTATAGTGAATCCAGAGTGTGTGCATAGTTTAGTGAATGCAGAGTGTGTGTTAGTGTGTAATGAATGCAGAGTGTGTGTTAGTGTGTAGTGAATGCAGAGTGTGTCAGTGTAATGAATGTAGTGTGTGTGTTAGTGCAGTGAATGCAGAGTGTGTGTTAATGTGTAGTGGATGCAGAGTGTGTGTTAGTGTAGTGAATGCAGAATGTGTGTTAATGTGTAGTGGATGCAGAGTGTGTGTTAGTGTAGTGAATGCAGAATGTGTTAATGTGTAGTGAATGCAGAGAGTGTGTTAGTGTGTAGCAGATGCAGAGTGTGTGTTAGTGTAGTGAATGCAGAGTGTGTTAATGTGTAGCGAATGCAGAGTGTGTGTCAGTGTAGTGGATGCAGTGAGTGTGTTAGTGTGTAGTGTATGCAGAGTGTATGTTGTATTAGTGTATGCAGTGTGTGTGTATTGTATTAGTGTATTATTATTATTATTATTATGATATTTATAGAGCGCCGTCAAATTCCGCAGCGCTTTACAATGGGTGGATGAACAGACATGTAGTTGTAACCAGACAAGTTGGACACACAGAAACAGAGGGGTTGAGGGCCCTGCTCAATGAGCTTACATGCTAGAGGGAGTGGGGTAAAATGACACAAAAAAAGGTAAGGATAGTATTAGACTAGTGACAGTTGCAGAAGAGGAATCAGTCAGGAGCTATTAACAGTTTAATTGATATGCTTTTATGAAGAAGTGGGTTTTTAACGATTTTTTGAAGGAGTGGAGACTGGGTGAGCATCTAACGGAGGAGGGAAGCAAGTTCCACAGGAACGGTGCAGCCCTTGAGAAATCTTGAAGGCGAGCATCAGAGGTGGGAGTACGGACAGAAGATAGACGTAAGTCTTCAGCAGATCGTAAGGGCCTAGACGGGACATACTTGTGTATAAGGGAGGATATATAGTTGGGAGCAGCATTATGTAGAGATTTGAAAGCAAGAACTAGAATTTTAAATTGAGCTCTATATTTTATAGGAAGCCAATGTAGGGACTGCCAGAAGGGTGAGGAATGGGAGGTGCGGGCGGACAGGAAGATGAGCCTCGCTGCCGCATTCATTATGGACTGTAACGGCGCAAGTTGGGAGCACGTAAGACCACTGAGAAGCGGTTACAGTAGTCCAGGCGAATGGACCAACACCTTAGTCGCATCTGGCGTTAAGTAGGGGCAGATGCGCGCAATGTTTTTGAGATGGAAATGACAGGATTTGGCGATAGATTGAACATGAGGCTTGAAGGAGAGGTCAGAGTCAAAGAGAACACCTAGGCAGCAAGCCTGCGTGGTGGAGCTGATGGTAGCACCGTTGACTTGGAGGGAGACAGACACAGAAGTAACAACACTTGAGGAAGGAAAGACCAGAATTTCAGTTTTGGTCAAGTTTAGTTTAAGGAAGTGGGCAGCCATCCAGTTAGAAACAGCAGAGAGGCAGTCAGAGACACTAGTCAAGAGGGACGGGAGAGATCAGGAGAGGACAGGTAGATTTGCGTGTCATCTGCATAGAAATTATATTGGAAGCCAAAGGAGCTAATGAGTTTACCAAGGGAGGCAGTATAGATGGAGAACAGTAGGGGACCAAGGACTGAACCTTGGGGGACACCAACAGAGAGGAGTTGGTGAGAAGAAGCAGAGCCAGAAAAAGAAACACTGAAAGAGCACTGGGAGAGGTAGGAGGAGCACCAGGAGAGAGCAATATCTTGCAGACCGATATTGCGGAGGATGAGAAGAAGCTGTTGATGATCAACAGTGTCAAAAGCCAGACAGGTCAAGGAGAATTAGGATAGAGTAGTGACCACGAGATTTTGCAGCGAGTAGATCATTGGATACTTTGGTCATTGCCATTTCCACAGAGTGCTTAGCGTGGAAACCAGACTGAAGCGGGTCTAGCAGAGAGTTGGACTCAAGGAAGTCTGTCAATCTTGCAATCTCTGCATTCGCTACACATTAACTATAAATAGGACAATTACAAGAAAACTTACAGGAACGATAGGTTGAAGAGGACCTTGCTCAAACGAGCTTACAGTCTATAGGAGGTGGGGTATAAAACACGTTAGGATAGGAAATATCAATCAAATAGGGTGGGAGTGAAGCAGAGCTGGAGGAGAGGGTAGAGAGAGCAAGAGACAGGTAATGTAAGGTAGAGGTTACTCTGGGAGGCCATATGCTTTCCTGAAGAGATGTGTTTTAAGGCTCTTCTTAAATGATTGAAGACTAGGGGAGAGTCTTATGGCGGTAGGCAGGCTAATCCATAGGAAAGGAGCCACCCGCGAGAGGTCCTGCAAGCGCGAGTTGGCTGTACGGGTGCGAGCAGCGGTCAGGAGGTGGTCACGGGCAGAGCGGAAGGAACGAGGTGGGGCATACCTATGGATCATTGAGGAGATATAATAGGGGCTAGAATTGTTCAGTGCTTTAAATGTATGGGTTAGCACTTTGAATTGACTCCTATAGGATACGGGGAGCCAATGTAAGGACTGGCACAGGGGTGATGTGTGAGAGGACCGACTAGAGAGGAAAATCAGTCTAGCTGCAGCATTCATTACACACTGTAGCGGGGCAATACGGCTTTTGGGGAGACCAATCAGGAGAGGGTTACAGTAATCCATGCGTGAAATTACTAGCGCATGGACAAGCTCTTTGGTCGCATCTTGAGTAAGAAAGGGGCAGATGTGGGCTATGTTTTTGAGTTCGAACCTACAGGATTTGGCAACAAACTGGATGTGAGGTTCGAAGGTGAGGCCAGAGTCAAGTATGACGCCAAGACAGCGTGCTTGCAAGGATGGACTTATGTGGATATCACTGACTTGAAAGGAGAGCGAGAGAGGAGGATCAGTATAAGGAGGAGGAAATACAAGAAGTTCAGTTTTAGAGAGATTGAGTTTCAGAAAGCGTAAGGACATCCAGTCAGAGATGGAAGAAAGGCAAGCAGTGACATGTTGCAGGACGGCAGGGGAGAGGTCTGGGGAGGAGAGGTATATCTGAGTGTCATCAGCGTACAGGTGGTAGTTGAATCCAAAAGAAGCAATAAGCTTGTTGTGTTAGTGTATGCACTGTGTGTGTGTGTGTGTGTGTAAATGTACAAACTAGGGGGGGGGGTGGGCATTTTCCCATTCATTTTTTTAATTTTATATTACATTAAATTAAATGTTTCCCCCCCCCTCCCTACTTACCTGTGTCAAAGGAGGGGGGAGATTCCATGATCCCTTGTGGTCTGGTGGCATGGTGGGGCCCCCAGGCTCCCTGTTACCGCAGAGGGGGCCCAGCACACTGCTTCTACTCTTCTCCTCTCTTCCAATAACTCTCGCGTTGCAATGGTAACCGGGTCTCGCGAGAGTTATTAGAAGAGAAGAGTAGAGGCTGTGTGCTGGGACCCCTCTGCGGTAACAGGGAGCCAGGGGCCCACGGCTGCACACATAGATAGTGATATTCGCTATCTATGTGTGCAGAGAGGGAAAGTGGGGCCCGGGACTGCCAGAGCAGTCCGGGCCCCCCAGGACCGCCGGGCCCGTGACAACCGTCATGGTTGTCACCCCCTGATGGCGGCTCTGCTGAGCCTTGAGGTACAGTGATAGTGCTGTATAAAAATAACAGATTTTTAAAAACAAGATTCACTTAAGTACTTTGTACAATATAGTTAGTAGAATTGCACTACATGTATTAGAGCTAAGTGAAAAGGTAAAGATCAATTCAGTGGCCAAACACAAAGGATGTCAAAGGGAAACCCACATATTCTGAAATACATTAGCTAACAACTATTTACACAAGACAAATACCAAACACAGATGTTTCGGTGCTGCAGATTCCTTTCTTGATCAGTAAGAGGACACAAATCTATTCTTATAGCTTATCTAGATAAGTCAGCATGGCCGGTTTTGACCCATAATTGCATCCTTGTGTAAACGAGTTCATACAAGCCGTTAGTGTACTGTATTGCTGTATGTGCTCTGGGAAACAAAGCATGTGGTGTTTTATATTGTATATCTGTGAAAGCAGACATCCAGTCATAAAGTAACTTCTGCATCCTGTGCTCCAGGAATCAATTCTTCAAGTACGTTAACCATAGAAGCAAGAAGTCAATATTTAATACTTTCTGTTATGTTGGTGTGGTGGCCTTGTTTATTCTGTACACCAGTGGTTGTGAAATATCTGATGCCTCATAGCACTAGCATTAACATACACACATATATATACTACATACATTATATATAATGTATATATATAATGTATGTAGTATGTGTGTAGTATGAAAGCCCTTTTTGTACAATACAAATACAAGCATATTTCAGGTGTTCTATTTTTAAAACTAACAGGTTCTTTGAGAACCACCTAATTCAATGACTTAGCTTTTCATCTTTTCATGTGTACTGCACAGAGCACTTTGAAGTATCCATAACTCCACTGACCACTAGTGAGCTTTATTTTTGGCTGACATCTCCAAAGTGCAAATTGGACGTATAACCAAGCAAATGACTAGCTCGGTGACCAAACATGTTCGTTGGCTTTTGGATTCAGCAAAAAAGAGATAAATGATAGGGAAAAAATGCTGAATGATGATAGATAGATAGACAGACAGACAGACAGACAAATATATTTTTACTGCTGCTGACCCTCTTTTTTTATTTTGATTACTTTTTCTCCTTTAATCTGTGAACAAAATATACTTAATATTATATTATGTTTGGCTGGTTTTCATGCCTTTTTGTTCACTTTCCTGTATATTTTTCATGGAGACTATTCGAACGAGCCAATTGCCACAGGAACAAGTGCTGGAGGTGGTACCAAACTAAATTTCATTTTTGGAAAAAATGGCTCAGTTGAACAAAGTCTACTGATCTTGCAAAATGGAAAAAAATGCATATTTTTTAGTCTCAGATAAGTAAAGCTCCTAATGGCCTATAAATCACAATGATATTAACATTATGTAACCAACCTATTTATCTACCTGTCCTATCCTATTCTTTGTGAAATTTATTCAACAATTAATTATAGGCTTTGTTCAGTATTACAATGCTGTAGTTTTCTAATAATATACTACTTACAATAATGCTAATAATTTTTTTTAATAAATAATACTAATCACCTTTATATCCACTCAGTTGGTCACCTTGTTTTAGGAACTTTAAAACAAGTTAACTCCTATCCCTACAGCCATTTTTTGGTGTCTCTACTCACTCACTTACTTTTGAATCAAATCTTATGACTTTTCCAAATTTTTATTTTTCTCTTTAACAATAAAAGCAATATTAGAATACGCAACACTGCCCCATTCTGTCTACCTTTGCTCATATCAAGGGCATCCTTTTAAAACAGAGCCATTGCTGAGTTCCGAAAGTACCTTGTGCTTTAGCCCAAAGCAAAAATTTGATTGACATTGTGTGACAAGATGCCTTTTACATTCAGCCTAATGGCTTCACGAACATATTAGGAATTCAAATAAATGCCAGCTGTTAGTGATTGCTAACCTTTGGCATGAGTGCAGTTGTATATTTTAATCCCTAAAATAATCCATCAACCATAAGGTAGATTGATTATCAACAAAACCAAAAAACCAAAAAAATAACTAATAACTATCTGAGCATCATAAGAAATTAAGTTAAGAAAAAAGTTATCAGTATTAGCTTTCTTGCCTTTACTCTAGGTCCATTGACCTCAGACCAGCAAGCCTTTTCTTCGCTCCTCTTCTTAATAATTGTGTGATATCGATTATACCCTTGAATAGTTTGTTTTTGTCAAGCCTTTTAAAAAATATATATATAGAATTTGAATCACAACACAAAGAGATTTAGTGCAACAAGGTGGAGGATATACATGGACATAGTCTTTAGTTTTAACATGTCTGAGATGTCAGGTCTTTATACCGACCAATAGCAATGTCACTGCTTAAAAATGTCAGAAATATCATTATACTTCTTTTGTCAAACAACTTATAGATAGAAATCTCACAGTCGTTCTCTTTACTGAGAAAATAAACCACAATAGGAGCACAAGAGAAGCTTAACTATGATTTGTCCACATAATGCCTGTGACCCCAAAATGTACGTTAAAGGGGGTGCTGGGCTGATGTTGACCAATTAGAACCGGAAGTGACGCGAGGCACCAATTATATCGTAAAAAATGTGCTCTGGATGCGAGCAGTGTTCTTTACCTCACAATTCTGACTGCGCAAATGGCAATGGCCTTAAACATGCGTGTCCCGAACAGTGGACCCAACACGAGGATCAGATAAGTAATGCTACGCTACCATTTTGACCTTTGAACCACTCTTCTCCACTACACTACAATTATAATGAAATCATTTATACATAAAAGACTATAAAATAAAAGATCAAAAGAACACATGACAATTTATATATGCTTATTTAGACTACCTATTTGAGCAGATCTCTATTCTTATTTTGTTCTAGTATGCTTACAAATTACTAATATCTTGAGCTGGTTAATTATACAGTGAAGTGGAATATAATGATATTGAGAATAGTTAAAAAAAAATCTCTATTAGATAGTGTCTACACTTTTACTCAGGAGGCTAATCTGTCATATTTATCAGATTAATTAATTCCATCAGAAAGAGTACAAATCTAGAGCAATTTATCTAAAAATATATTAGAAATCTATTACAAAAAGCTTAATATTTCAGTGTCATAGCCACTGAACCCCACCTACCCCATTTAACTAATTCATGCTTAAACATCACCATCAGCTACTACCCATCACACACTAACTGCTTCTTATTCTCTCACTCATAAGTATTAGACCCCCTCACCTGCTTCACCAACATGTTGGAAATAATAACATTCTGTATGTTTGTGAATCACTCTGCTACTTAACCCCTATCTATACAATGAATAAGAACATTGTGAAGGTTTCCCATCAGTCCTCATTTTGGCAGCACAGTCCTGATTTCAGGGTCCTGTACCCGCTATCCTTACTTTCTTCCCTGGAGTTCAGCTTTTCGGGACTCCTGGAATAGCTGAGCCGAGTTTGTCATTAGGTGCTACTCTCAGGGTACTAGAATGCTGCAGAGTGCACTTAAACAGCCCTCAATGTATGTACCACTATTAGTAGAGATTGGCAGGAAGCCCGGTTAGGAATGCCCCGGGACCTGACAACTGACATAGCCCCATTGGGGTCTGCCCCTTATTCTATGCCTACTGTTATCTTGCTTCATAGAATGCCAATGTTTGGGGTATGATCAATGTTGGAACTAACGTAGCGAGGACCCTTGTGCAATAATATTTCTCGTATCCCTCTACTGCAAGGGTAGCCAAAAGGTAGATCGCCATCTGTCATACAACAGCAACAATGCTTTGCCAGCTGGTGATCTACCATGTGCCCATCCTTGCAGGGTTGTATTCAGCACTGGGCAGTGTTTGTCTGTATAAATGTGAGCATATTTTTGTATGTGTGAGGGAATGAAAGGGTGTGTTTGCATGAAGTGTTGGAGTTTGAATTCAGGCATGCATTTGTATGTAGTGTTGTTTTTTGAATGCAGGGATGTGTTTGTATGTAGTGTTGATGTTTGAATTCTGAAATGTATGTACATATACACATACACTGCCACACACACTAATACACATACACACAAACTGACACACATGCAAATAGTCAGACACACAGATACAAGCACTAACACACATTTAGATACAGAGACACACACATGTCCAACTGGGGCCTTAAGTGCACGAGTCACCTGATGGGCCCCCTAAACGTGCGGCCCCAGTATGATTATGTATTATTCATTTGTTCTTGTGATTTTTTGCCTATTCACTTCATTGTTTAAGATTTGAACATTTACATATCTATTTGCTTATTATCTAACATATCAAATAACTATCATAATGAATAATTATCGCAATTTAATTATATATACTTAATTTTCATTATGTATTATATATTATAATATAATAATTATGGGTTCCAGTGTTACTTTAATTAACATTCAGATTGTTTTTCTTTTCAGATCGTGGAGTAAAAGTATGAGGAAGGGGGGCGGAG